GCACACTGACCGCTGCTCGATCATGAACTGCTCATCCTTTTGCTCGGCGTCCAGCACTCGAACAAATGCAGGGAGGCATGCCTGACCACAGCTCAAGCTGCAAGTATCAGCGGCTCATGTGAGCTGGTTGATTCGGGCACTGTTGGCAGGGCAGCTGATGCTTTGACGCAAACAGCCCTCTTGCGAAGAGGTGTGCCCTTTGCCCATGCACATCTAACCATTTCGCACGACCTGCCGTCTGCTGTCAGTGCAGGTGTTCCATGGCCGGATCTCTTAGCTGGTGATACTCCAGACCAACACTGGCAGCCATGCCAGCGGCCTTATGAGCCAGATGGTGCAATGCAAACCAGCCTGTCATTTTCAGGTTGCCGCGCCCCTTGGCGACTTGCTTTGTTTAGACGTCTCATGCTCTTGGCACTCTCAGCCAACTCGATGAGCCTGCCGATGCTCGACACGGAGCGCCAGCTCTGCTTGAGCTTGATGAGGCACCCTACAGCTCCAACGTGCCATTCCTGCCGCACAAGGGGAAGTAGTCTCGGATCCTTCGCGCGCAGGGCTCCATTTCGGCGGGCTGAAAGTAGAACCTGCAGGCGCAAAGCGTTGTCACGTTGTCAGCTTCTCAATGCAGACAAGAAGCTTGTCAACCTTGTCGGCCACAAATGTCATGGGCCTTGGCACTATATAAGCAGCTACATGCTTTACATGCTGTCGGACTCAAACAACAGCTTGCAACAAGCAATTCAACGCACTGCTCATTGGTGAATGATGAGGGAAAAACACTTGATCACAACACATGAGCCCTCAGCTGGTAAACACTGCGTGGGCTCTGCTGTTGGTGACGTCTGCAAGGAGCACACTAGGTGGCAAAACAAGACACAGGGATGACCAAGTCTAAAACAACTTGCAAATATATATGCAAAGGATTTCACTGACTCAGGTGGGAAGGAATGACTCTAAGCAAATGACACGTCTTGTAGACCAACGTAGTGCATCGTGGAGAATCCTGGATCAGGATTTCGCCGCTTCATGCCATGGTCGAAGTACGCAATGAATGGCTTGCCATAGTGGCGATTGCGAATGTTGAATGCCACATAGTGCAAACTTCCTAACTGTGCTGACAATCAAGTTGCGGAACCGGGCCAAGCGGACAAACAGCTACAACCACCGCGCCTTCCCCTTTCTAAGTAGCTTTCAAAGGTGCGTGCAGCTTCCGGAAGCTGGGTCAGCTGACCAATCCGGCTTGGTGCCCTGTCCTGTAGGCTGATGCGTTTCCATCTCTGCGGTGCCTTGGGATGCTTTGTGCGGCTTGCCGGTCCATGCTATGGTGCCCTTCCAGCATCCTCTCACCCATGATTCCAGCCATGCAAACGCGACACACACACACACACATACCCACACCATCGCAATATACTCTCCGAGCGGCAGCCCATAACAGTCATCGCCCAATTGCCGAGGTATGGTGTCTCCTAGAAAGATGCAAACATTCAGGCTCACCAGCGGCAAACCCAAGGGCTGAACCGACATTGTCATGGGCAATTGTGCGTCTGAGTGTCATTGCTGTGCTGTGTAGATCGCGTACATACCAATGCCAACATTTGTCACCGCTCCCTACATGTGGGTATTGAGCACCTCATGCCCATTTTGCATGAGGCTGACAAAAAGCATTGGAGTCAAGGTCCTGCGCATCATCCAGAAGGCATGCACACAAGTCATCTTCGCCGAGTCGACCAGGCGATGCGGTGTCGTAGCCTGAGGGCGACAGGCGGCGCAGCACAAGGAATCAAGCACATGTTTGCACATTCTCGTGATTGGGAGTGCGTGCTAGGACAATGGTTTGTTTCATCTGCGTTGAGGTAAAGCAGCCACACAATTGTGACCTGCTCAGACAGTCTTCTGAAATTGTGCGCGGCGTAGCAGCCGTTCAACCAACAGATTGCAGCCATCCCATAAGGCAGATCTTTGTCCAATGTGAAACTCTCCACTGCTGCTCCTTGGATAACAACGCGTTGGCTTCTGCGTTCGGCTGAGGTCCAGGCACCAGGCACCATTGGAGAGCGTGCGGCAAGGCGGCACCCACCAATATGTGGTGCCAACCTCGGGACAGGTGGAGTGTCATTGCGTTCTTTTGGATGTTGCTGCCTTACACCGCGTTTTGAAAGGAGGGAGCGATAAGATGGGCCCACTTTTGATAACCTTCAATTTGGCAAAAATAGTGCATCAATATCTGAGTGCGGAAGACTCATTGCACGAGCAGGGCTCCTGATTGTTGGTCCAGGAGGCAAAAAACATGAAAGCATGCTTGCAGCTGTGCTGGAGAGAGCAGGAGACAAATTCAGGAAAGGCACCGCAATGCCCTCCTCCGGAAGCCCAGCAGCTGCACCACAGGCCTCTTGAGCTACCGACATGTACAGGTCAGGGCAGGATGAACGACAAAATCCAGCCGTCCAAATGCCACGTACTAGATCCTGAACAATCATCTGAGGTTTAGCTCCAATGTGGCACATCCGCATCAAACCAGTTCTGTTTGTGCGTCCTCCAGTCGCCGCGATAGTGAGCACTTTGATGTTCTCATTGGCGGGCAAATGACAATTGTCTGGTAGCCCACCCCTTGTTCGTAAACCAATGTACCCAAAGGGATGGGATGCCGCCCAACACCGCCGCGTGCCTTGGACGGCCGCTGATGCAGCCTTGGGATGCTCGTTGTCCAGGGACCCACGGCTTCGCAGGAGGAATTCCACCTGCGCCATGGTGTTGCTATGGGCTATGGCCTTAGAGCTATGGGCTATGCCACAGCCATAGCACGTGTTTCCATGCCCTCATGGTTCATGCTCCAAAACAGTCCTGATCAATCTTACAGGAAGGTTGAAAACCGAACCGGAAACCGGTTAACCGAACCGGTTTTCAAAACCGCAAGAAAACCGGAAACAAACCACAAACCGAACCGAACCGAACCGAACAGAAACCGAACCGTCCCCAGGTTTGCAGGGGCAGCAACAAAGCAACAAACCCGCATTATTGGCCGCTTCTGGTTCTGATTTTTGCTTCCGCAGTGCTCGCAACACACGAAACGCCGCTGAAATTTGGCAAGCAAAAAAAGTGACCCATGAGCGGTCAGTGACTTGTTTTTTTGCGCTTTTGAGCTTTGACTGCAGAGATGCTTCCCAAGGCCACGTGCGCGGAACAACATGCTCAGCATCAGTCAGTGGCATGGTTTGTTTGTTTGTTTGTTTTTGTGTTTGTGAGTTTGTTTGTTTGTTTGTTTGTTTGTTTGTTTGGTGTTTTTGTTTGTTTGTTTGTTTGTTTGTTTGTTTGTTTGTTTGTTTGCTTGTTTTTGTTTGTTTGTTTGTTTGTTTGTTTTGTTTGTTTGTTTGTTTGCTTGTTGGTTTGCTTGCTTGCTTGCTTGCTTGCTTGTTTGTTTGTTTGTTTGATTGATTGTTTGTTTGTTTGTTTGTTTGTGTTTGTGTGTGTGGTTGTGTCTGTGTGTGTGTGGTGTGGGATGGCGATATCAAATGGATGGCGATGCCAGAGATGTGGAAGTTGGCGAAGTGTGGGCGAAAGCAGACTGAGTTACCTAGAGCCTTATCTTACTTTTCTGCACTAACCGTGCAAAAAGGCAGGTTTTGGAAGGTTATGAGTAACCGCCACTAACCGGAGAAAGGCTTTCAAAAGGTTTCAGAAACCGAACCGAACCTAACCGTGGCCACCCTGATCTTAGGTTATGCCCAAAGAATTCGCAACCAATGCTGCAATGGCCATGAAGGCTACGAGCTGCAGAACACATTCCTCGGATGGTTGTAAAATAGGTTTAACTCGAGTTTCGAGAATTGTCTAAGGGCAGAATTCTAAGGCGGAATCATATGAGAGCACCCCCTTCAGATGGTCAGATGGCTTATACAATTGCTTATGATAGTCAATGTCAATGCATTCCGGTTCGGCTTAAATCATACCTGGCTGGAAGCAACACAGGTCGGGCCACTCAAAAGTTTTAGCGTGGTGATGAACCAACTATCAACTTCTAGCCTGAACAAAGGCGAAACAACATGTTACTAATCATCAATTCCATGCGGCGGTTGCCATCCCTTCTGCGCGCATTTTTTGTTCCCTTTTCACCAGTCCTTGATTGGTGGTTTGAATTGGTGGTTTGGGATCTTGTAGAGGGTAAATGGGAGACCCCCTTGAACCACCAAGCCACGCGGCGGTGGGAGGGCTTGCGACTTTCGGTCCGGAAGTAAACTTTGAGTGGGCGAACATAATTCGCCTTTTAAGTGCTGGAGTTGTGGTTGGAGCTCCGGCCTGCATTGGTCGCCCACCTGCAGCCTCCAGATCTCCTCAGACCTCAGAGAAAGTGAAAAACCTGTGATGAGCAACCACCTTGTGTGTTCACGATCCAAGACTACCGCGGAAAAATATCTGTGTGATAGGTCGCGTCACTCCTTGACTATGAACCACCGCATGCATGTCCAATGCTCATGCCCACTTATATACAAAGCCATCACAAATCCAAGCCACTGGGAGGCAGCTTGCGCAAGCAGCAAGAAGCCAAAAAGTGTCCAATGACCATGGACCGTGCCCGAAAACTCAAGCATCTTGTATATCATGACAGGTTTGTGCTGCTTGAGGTCGAAGGCTTGTGGCTGCCGGTCATACTGCTCGTGTGCATCTGAGCCTACATGCTGCAATACAATCTTGGACCAGCTCCCGCAGCTTCCTTGGCCCTTTCTACAACTTTGTGGCGACCTGCAAGGCTGAAGCGTGCCCTGCAAGGCTGATGCGCGCAAACAAATCAAGGCGCTGAACAAACGCATGCTTGAGACTGCTAGTTCGTGTGCCTTCCCCCTTGTATATTTCACAGCAACCCCGGAAGTCTCAGCCTCCCAAAGTGGCAGGAGTGACAACACCAGGATTAGACAGGCATTGCTGCCCTACAGAATATCTCCTGCCAATTCGGTTTCGAAATTGTGGGATAGAAAGATGCGCTGAAATAACACGACACACGGAGCCTCTGCTGAGGCGATGCCATGCCACTGGCCGAGCGCTGGCACCTGTCAAGCTCTCGGGCCAAGGAGAACACTGAGCGACGATTCAAGATTGGGGCTTGGCTCAGGAACCCCTTTCCCCCGGAGAAAGGTTGCTTTCCTTTGGGTGTGCCTTCAAAACCCGCTCAACGGCTTCCCCAGAAAAAGGACGCATGGACCTCTGTAGAAAGATGGTGAAACCAGGCCGTGCAATCAAAGGTGGCACTGAGCAACAGTTTTGAGATCGGCGAAAACGCGACCTGCTGCGGCAGGTGGCCATATTGAACTCATGGTGATGCCTCAAACTGTGCAAGCCGTGGACAGGCTAGCCGGTCATACTTGCTCATGGACTTTTGCTTCGGCCAACACAATGACAACAGCACCTCAAAGGAGAAAGTCAGGGCTTTCGGGTAGCCGTACCTTGGCAGCAACGAGTTGGCAAGGAAAGCTTGGTGCCCTGACTGCTGACAACTAGTGTGCGGAAAAAAAGAAAAGAAAAAAACACGCCATTTGTCCATGCATGTCGCCATTTGCTGGTGGTGACACAAAGGCAGTCTCTCTAGAATCCTTTATTTTATATATCATAACATCCCTCGATATACAAGGTGCTTCTGGATCAGAAACATTTTGCCGCAGACTGTTCAAAAACCATACCTCGGAGCAGCCCGGCTTTCGCTTGTGTCAAGGGCACATGACAAGCACTGGACTGTGCGATTCAATGGCCAAGCATAATGTTGACTGGCAGCCCCTTTGCCGCAAACCTTTTAACAGTCAGCTTCACACCGGCGAAACAAGTTGGTACACAGCTCATTACTCCCACAACGGCTCATGCTACAGCAATCTGAGTGTAGCCCATGGTTGGAAAAGAGTTGACCATATCTTCATCATCATTCGCATCAACGCGTGACAAATTTAGGCTCCGGTGTTCACGCATGAAGCCAAATTAATTAAGGCTCCAGGCTCGAAAGGGGCAGCCGGCACTTCTGCCAGAACCTAGCAGGATAGGAGCTGGAAGAATCTCCCCAAGTTAAGGCTGGCATCGAACAAGGTCCGCCCACTCTCAGGAGGCCGAATGTCAACAATCGCCTCCTGCCATGCTTGGTCGGCATCGTCTGAAACCGCTTTGTTGCCAGCAGCCGTCACCTCCTGGGCGGATAGAGGGCTACCCCCTAGGTAGGGGCAAGAACAAGCTTGGAGTGAACATTGGCTTGCGCTCAAGAGCTGTCCCTTGACCTACCGGTGGAATCAATTGTAATTGCAGCAAAGTGGGATGGAATGGTTGCAGTAGGGCTCACTCTCCAAACATGAAGAACGCGAGTGCACATTCATAGTTGTCAGCATCCGTACCATTGGCGTTCCACAGTCCTCGGCAATTCGGTCAGCAGACCTGCAAAGCGGAGTCAGGGAGCTGCCCGGTTGCATCAGCAGTTTCGCGAGAGGCTTAATGTAGATCATTTGTGCCAAAAGCACACACACACACACATCACTCATCACTCATCACTCATCACTCATCACACACGCACACACACACACACACACACACACACACACACACACACACACACACACACACACACACACACACACACACACACACACACACACACACACACACACACACACACACACACACACACACACACACACACACACACACACACACACACACACACACACACACACACACACACACACACACACACACACACACACACACACACACACACACACACACACACACACACACACACACACACACACACACACACACACACACACACACACACACACACACACACACACACACACACACACACACACACACACACACACACACACACACACACACACACACACACACACACACACACACACACACACACACACACACACACACACACACACACACACACACACACACACACACACACACACACACACACACACACACATCACTCATCACACATCACACACACACACACACACCACACCTCACACATCACACATTACACATCACAATTCACGTATGGTTTCTGTTTCATAGAGGAGTTTGCCTGCTTGCTGCCACAAATAATCACACGCCTTTTCCAGGAACATGTCTGCACTATGGTACTTGAATTGCACAACGGGCTCAATAAGAAGTGCGGTATCCAAACCAACAACGGGGCAGGCACTGCGCACAACTGCAGATCGGTGCACAAATGCCAAGGCTCGCACGCTTCCATTGACTCCTCCTTATCAGCTTCCTGAGAATCAGTTGATTCACTTCTCCCCCAAACTTTGTCTCAGAGCCCTGGCAGCTAAAAAAGCCACTGGCGCAACCAAGCTCTTTTCTGACAAGGGCATCTCGCCTCCTCCAGCTTTTGGGCTTCCGCTCCAAGCTTTTCAGCCTCCTCCTGATGGCACGTTGAGGGATCCATTTTACGTCACTCACCACTGCATGTGAGAATAGCTGTAGCCCGGCTCTGCGCTTTGTCCTTGGTGATGAAGGTCAACATTTTTATTTTTCCCCAGATAGCTGAAAGCTATAGGGGTTCTAACTTCTAATAAAGAGGGGGAAGTGATTTGCGAGATTGAGGGCCGGGTGCTAGGGGGCATGCAGTTTGAGGTGCTGGTGGATGCTGCTTTGCGAGCTTGACGGCCGGGTGCTAGGGGGCATGCAGTTTGAGGTGCTGGTGGATGCTGCTTTGCGAGATTGAGGGCCGGGTGCTAGGGGGCATGCAGTTTGAGGTGCTGGTGGATGCTGCTTTGCGAGATTGAGGGCCGGGTGCTGCTGCAGTTTGAGGTGCTGGTGGATGCTTTGCGAGATTGAGGGCCGGGTGCTAGGGGGCATGCAGTTTGAGGTGCTGGTGGATGCTGCTTTGCGAGCTTGACGGCCGGGTGCTGGGGGGCATGCAGTTTGAGGTGCTGGTGGATGCTGCTTTGCGAGCTTGACGGCCGGGTGCTCGGGGGCATGCAGTTTGAGGTGCTGGTGGATGCTGCTTTGCGAGCTTGACTGCCGGGTGCTAGGGGGCATGCAGTTTGGGGTGCTGGTGGGTGCTGCTTTGCGAGCTTGCCGGGTGCAAGGGGGCATGCGGTTTGGGGTGCTGGTGGGTGCTGCTTTGCGAGCTTGACGGCCGGGTGCTAGGGGGCATGCAGTTTGGGGCGCTGGTGGGTGCTGCTTTGCGAGCTTGACGGCCGGGTGCTAGGGGGCATGCAGTGTGGGGTGCTGGTGGATGCTGCTTTGCGAGCTTGACGGCCGGGTGCTAATGCAGTTTGGGGTGCTGGTGGATGCTGCTTTGCGAGCTTGACGGCCGGGTGCTTGGGGGCATGCAGTTTGGGGTGCTGGTGGGTGCTGGTTTGCGAGCTTGACGGCCGGGTGCTAGGGGGCATGCAGTTTGGGGTGCTGGGAGGTGCTGCTTTGCGAGCTTGACGGCCGGGTGCTAGGGGGCATGCAGTTTGGGGTGCTGGTGGGTGCTGGTTTGCGAGCTTGACGGCCGGGTGGGGGGCTGCTGGTTTGCGAGCTGGCCGGCGAGCTTGACGGCCGGGTGCTCGGGGGCATGCAGTTTCGGGGCTTGACGGCCGGGTGCTGGGGGGATGCAGTTTGGGCTGCTGTGGATGCTGTTTTGCGAGCTGGCCGGGTGCTAGGGGGCATGCAGTTTGGGGTGCTGGTGGATGCTGTTTTGCGAGCTTGACGGCCGGTTCTAGGGGGCATGCAGTTTGGGGTGCTGGTGGATGCTGCTTTGCGAGCTTGACGGCCGGGTGCTAAGGGGCATGCAGTTTGAGGCGCGGGTGGATGCTGCTTTGGTTGTACCGGGTGCTAGGGGGCATGTTTGGGGTGCTGGTGGATGCTGTTCGCGTGTAACGGTTCGTGCCTGGTGTATCGTCATGATGTTCCCACGTTATGGTGTGTGGGCGTAGTGGCGCCGTGATGCTGTCAACATCAGGATGATGCAGAATTTCATTAAGCTGTCGCAAGATGGTTCGTGGCTGTGGTATCATCATGATGCTGTCTTTACCATCAGCATGATGCTGTTCGCATCACCATGATGCTGTCCGCATCATCATGATGCTGTCCGCATCATCATGATGCTGTCGAACTCATCAGGACCTCGTTTTTGCTTTTTTCCTGCCGGATTGCTCTCAAAATCATCATTATGCTGCTGATCTCATTAGGACGTTGTCTGCGCGTTTGTTTCGTGGCTGTGGTGTCATCATGGTCTACATCATCATGATAATGCTGCGTCATGGTTCGTATCCGTGGTGTGCTATCTGGGGTCTATGCTGGTGTATTTATTTTTCGATCACAACCCTTGCCAGTGCGCAACATGCTCCTGAAGACCCTTCGTGCCGATTAACTTGTCCTGACCCCTAGATGCCCACAACTATCCAAAGCAGGAAGCGCACCCACACACACACACACACACATCTTACGTGCCTTGGTCCCATCCGCACACACGCACGCACGCACGCATGCACGCACGCAGGCATGCACGCCCGCGCACGCACGCACGCACGCAGGAACGCATGCACGCATGAACGCATGCACGCGTGCACGCATGCACGCGCACGCGCACGTGCACGCGCACGCCCGCTCGCACGCGCACACACGCACGCGCACGCGCACACGCACGAGCACACATTCTGGCCGAGTATGTGGTCTCCTTGTTCACCTTGACCACACGGGCCAACTCTTTGGCGGCTTTGCCCTCGTCCAGCTGCTTGCTGCAGTCCCCAGAAAACTTCGCCTTCCTCAAGGCGCGGTTGGACACCATCAGGTCTCTGGAGGCCTCCAGCACTGCGTGGATTCAACCGGGACGGCAGGGAGTTGCATGGAACGGCCGGGGAGTCTTGCCGGGAAGGTTGGATGGTTTGAACAGCAAGGAAACAAGAAAACAAGGTTGGAAGGTTTGAGGACATAGTTGTTTACTGTATTCTAACAGGAATGGTATGTGTATATGAATATATTTACACGCAACAGAATGCCTCATGAGTTCAAGACGTGTTGCCAAATCAAGCTTTATTCCTGATGTCGCATAATTTCGAGAACACGTCCGCGTGTGGAGAACACATTCAACATGAATCCTAAACTCGTAATTGACTCGCGCATGAGGCCACCTGCCCCACCATGTCCGCCCGCCACGCCCACCCGTCCGTGTGAGCAACCAAGCTCAACGCAATTCCCTGACAACGGGACTATGATCTGCTTGATGCACATTTTGCATCACTTTGCCAATTTTGCCTCCTACTCCACTCCGCCCACTCGGCCTTGTCTTGCGCCTTCTGCGCCGCGAGCTGCGCCGCCCGCAGCTGCTCGGCTTTGGCTCTCAGCTGCGCCACGGTCTGCGGCAGCTGCGCCAGCTGTGCTGTGAGCTGTGCCGCGAAAGGGCGGGCCCCTGGGCCGAGCAAAAAAGAAGATACCTGGTACCCGTTTTGGGGTTGGCTAGGGAAACCAAAGGGAAAGCCAAAGTTCAGTTTGGCGGTCCCCCAGTTTTTATACCAGGCCTGAGGCACATATACCCAATTGGGAAATCAACCCACAGACTTATTCGGTGTTTGGATTGATGGATTGGAATTTGTATCTGGATCGGCCTTTAGGGAGAAAACCAAAGGCCTCCCCCAGGACCCAGAGAACCTTTCCCGCGAGGTAGGGGGCCAGCCGGGCGCACTATATGTCCGCCTCGAAAGTTGCAATCTATTTTACAGGTCGGTTTGACAGAAACCACTTTTGGATATCCAAGAAAAAGGAAATCGAGGGACACGTGAGGGGCCGGGCCTTGGCCAGTGGGTGACACAGCCTGCAAACTTACGCAGCGTTGGGATGGTTGAACAATATGGCAAGGACAACTCTTCTTGGACAAGATCCAAATTGAAACTACAAAGTTGTTGTGATGAAGTTACGGGGCACAGGAGAACAAGTGGCATGATCTTGGATGGCTTTCCCGGCGGTGGTGCAACATACCGAAAAATCACTGTTAAAGTGGGGCGGAGCCGAAGACAACATCTTCATTTTTGGCAAGGAAATTTGAGAACCCCCAACTGAATCGTGATGGGTGTATCATTCTTAAGACCATTGGAAGCTGTGCTGAAACCTGTCTCGAATCCACCAGGGAAAACTTCAATGAATGACAACCACACTGCAAATTGGCGAAACCAACAAACCTGCGAAGGAACAATATTCACGCACTTGCGACTTGGGAGTTGAGTTCATTGCCAACCTGATCAGAGCCCACAACACGAGACGCATCACGGACGCAGCACGTCAAACAGGCATGACACATAGTCCATCCGCACACAACATCAAGCTTTCAATGTTCCAAGGCGCAACATCTGGTAGAGACTACACCACATCATGCAAACACCAACCTGACATGTGACACGCAAGAGCAACGCCAAATGTTCTGCGGACACCTTGTTCACTGGTTTGTACTCATTGCGTCCCCAAACGGCGCAAAGTCTTGAAAGTCATGGTATAGGATAGCATAGTGAGGACTTGAACAACAAGATTGGCGACACAACGTCGGGGTTGCGCTGAGGTGTTTGCGCTTCCACTTGATGCGAATGGACGAGTCAATTCTGCACAAAGCAACTGTCATCACATTGACATAGATCCGAACGTCACTCGTCGCCAATGCTCTACTTTGAAGCTAATGCACACTAATAATGCAATTGTTGTTGTTTCTTCTTTCGCCGCCGATCGCACTTTTTTGTCTAGTCAAAACAACTCTTGCAACATTGATCACGTTGGGTAAATGAAGACACATCTGGCCGAGAAATCAAAACATGTATCAGATTTCATCCAGCTTGGCTCTTTAGACCGAGGCGTGCCTGAGTCAGCTTGACATGTCCCACAATGCCATGAGCACACACACATCTAAATCACCACCTGGAAATACCTGGAATGAGCACAAGGGAATGCATGCTCAAAAAAACACACACAATGTGCTGCGGCTTTCTGTGCTGTCCCTGGCCTCGCTTGCACACCATCTCCTGGAGATCGCAGGAATGAGTTCACAATGGTGATTTGATGTGATGCACACATCCTTCTCGTTGGCAAAAGATTACGTCAGCTAGACGCCCAGTGGCCGAGCGGCTCCACAGTCACAGCCAGAGTGCACTAGAGGGTCTAAGTTGTGCGTGAGGTCTTGCTCACGAAATCCAAGCAATCGCACCATCTGCGTTTCAAGCATGATACTCTTCGCACGCCAGTACTGCTGTTCTGCTTTCACAGCCAGATTGCAGTAAAGAGTCAACATGTTCAACAGCTCCATTTCAGGAGTTATTGTCGTAATAATGGACAAACATGTGATCTTGCTATGTGCCATTGTTACCTACCTTCACCAAGATTGAACAGGCTTGACATGTACGTCCAAGGCAAAAAAGTTCTCGATTGTTAAGCAAACAAGGCTCATGGTCATTTCCCAAGGTCTGCAGCATCTTGGCCTCTTTGATTCTGTGCAAGGTTTTGGGTAGATCCTTCCAGCACCAAGTGTTGATTGTCACTCAGCTCAGGATGCTCGAAACCATGAGACGGAGGCTTAGTTTCTCCTCAGTTTGGGTGTTGGGCCGTAGCTCGATGGGGGTTTGTTGATCTACAGGCACTCAATGTATTCTCGTTGAAATTCCTCTGAGGCCCTCATATTCTGCGCTTTTAAGGGTTTTAGGCGGGCTTGCAGTATAGGAAAACCCACAAACTAAACCCATTTGTTTCTCGGGATCGCTCTGTGCTGATACATACCTAAATGGGAGTCGAGCTGTAGAAATCAGCCTTGTTTCGCGAGGCAACCAACCCCCCCCTTCAACCTGTGAGGTGGCCAGCTTCTCAACGGTTTCCCGGGATTCTCCGGGTTTCAACAAGATTTCCCCTTTTCAAGCGTTTTCCCCGACTTTCTCCCAGCTTTCAGCTGGGATTGTCCTCGTTTTCTCCCGGTTACATCGGCTGGTCCTGCAGCTCCAAGACCTTCGCGCGCTGGTGGTCGCCCTCGCCCTTGTCCAGCAGCTCGTAGTAGGAGGCCCAGAGTCGAGGGTTCCCTCGGCCCGTCGCATGGAACGAAACTGGGGTGGAGGGTTCCAACTCCAAGAATGGACGCAAAATGGTACCTAACACACGAACCAAGCCAAGCGGGAAGAAACCAGTTGACATGGCTTCCTGCAATAGGTGAATATATAGAGTGGAAAGACACACAAAGAGGAAGCAAAGGCCTAGCGACTTGACATCCCTGCCACCTGTGATGGTGTGCGGATACACGCAAAGCCACACTTGTAAAGTGAAATCGCAGCTTTACCTGGCTGGAAGATCTCCGGACAGCAGCAACAAACTGGCCTCTCTTAATGAATCGTGCAAGATAGCGCAAGCTTCAACAGTGGAAAAGCTGCTAAGTCTAAAACACCTTGCAGGGGTGCCTCACTGACCACGAGGCGTTGCCTGTTTGTAAGCCCATGCCCAACTGATGCCATGCTGCGTTGGCGGAGCTGCTTTCGGATCCCTGCCAACTTGTCGCGGTTGGCCTGCGCCGGAATGCAACGAATAAAAGCCCAAGTGCCGCAGCTCACATTCAGGCGGGCATGATAAAATGCTAACTGCCTCAGCACGAAGTCTGCTGAAACTTCGACGCTTTCCCTGGGTTGCCGCCCCCCCCTCTGGGCGCAGGATGCGCTGCCTACGGGCCTTAGTAGTTAGCAGCTGCAATACAGTAAGGTGAGGGGGAACCCAAAGTTTGCTGCAAACCTGGGGATCTGCCTCTAAGCAGCTGCTAACAGCCAGAAGTAGCATTTAGCAGCGGCTATCTGAAAGGATGAACTGGTCTGGTCTTCGCAGTCCAAGGCCTTCAATAGATTCTGGCCTTCAACTCTGCATTTGAATATTTGGTTTTGTTCGGCCATTTGAGCTGTCTTGGCCGGTAAAGCCTGCAAGTCCATGAATCCATTTGTGCTAAGAGTTGCAAAGCCCCGCTGGTGTTGCAATTACGGCAACACTCACACTTTCACGCTTTGCACTGCTAGCTGCTTGACTTGAGACGCAGAACCCAAGCGCAAGGAAACTAACATCTGCATAAGCCAGCGCTGCGCAATAAGATATGGCATCACATACCAACTCGCCACACCACCACACAAATTACCAATGTATTGAGATGGTATTGTGGCGTTGCTGTTACTCGAAATAAACCGACATGCGCGGGAAGCAGATAAATCAATATCTCCACCCGGTGATGAAAGTTGATTTGACGCAACCGTGACTCACAAGGACAACAGCCGACGAATCCAATTGGCCATGCCTTTTCATGGCAAATACTCTTAAACATGAATGGTGAACATGAATCCCCATGGTATATAATATTAACTTCGGACTAATACGCAGGACCACACAAATCTGAGGAATCCCACCAAATCCAATCTATCCGACAGAAACGAGTCAAGGCGCCTGCTGCAGAGCCACCTCGAAAAGAAAATCAAACAGCTGGCCACGCGGAAATTGTGGAAACTTATTGGATTCATTTGAGGGTTGCCAGCATGCAAGTGCAGGTGGTATCGTTGACACATGCTAATTAACTTACGAAGGCTTTGCACATACCGTGGATGGACAAAATCCTGTTGGGATGAAACCCTATGAATGGGATGAAGCACCTAACTGGTGCAGCAATACGTTCTTCTCATCCACATCCACAGTCTTAATACTGGAGCACACCCTCCAAATACAGACAAAACAACTGCTCCACCCGGGCTTCTAGACGACGTGTTCATGCTGCACAATGAAAGCAGCTGAAAACTGGAAAGTCCATCCCAACTCAATGACATCATTACAATGCATCTGGCAAACATGTCGACAGAAACACAGGCAGCAATTAAATAACAAATGACAAAGTAGGAATCTCATGAAAGACTTATGCTGTTCAGGTGTCAGGCCATTGCGGAGAAACACCTTTCGTGTTGCGTTTGCGGTTGAATGGGCCCTACTTCATCCCATTGACCCGCGCACCAAACCTTTGTAAGCCATGCAGGGCGGTAGACAATGAGCAACCGCTTTGGTAGTCCAACTGACTGGGCAGTATCTCAGTGGCCACGCGCCTAACCGCCTATGCGACAAAACCTTACGCTCTGTGAGATCTCCCCGTGCAACCAGCTCTGAACAAAAAAAGGTTTGATCATGCGCGACCCAAAACGACTCAAGGCATCAATATCAAGCACATGACAAGCGCGAATGCACTCAAACCAATCAATGCTCCAACAACTACACCATCTCAATGTTTCCTATCCTCGTCATCAACCCTCCTTGAGACTGGTAGGGAATGCAAGGGACAACCTCTTTGAATGATACAGTAGCCACAAGAGGCTTTCTGAGCTTTGCCGTCCGACGAGCGGCAAACAAGAATGCCGCGGACACGTCGCCACCTCGCGCTTTCAGAGCCTGGCGACTTCACAATGTTGGTGGCACATGTGGCAGTTCTCGATTCTTTAGGGACCAAATCGATTTGACGTGGCGCACTTGAGCCGTTGATTTAACAAGCTACACACAGCCCAAAAAACCGCTCTGCGAAGGCAGCAGGAGAGCAAACACTCTACGAAGGAAGGGTCCTGGGGCTCGGGAGTTAGCCTGCGAAGGTCAGCGGCATTCAACATCCGGTTGAATTTCAGCCTTGTGTGCCAAAATAAACAGATTTGCTGATTTGTAGCCACCCCAATGTTCGAGCCCTTGTCCCCAGATTGTGTCTACAAGTGTCATGCCCCCGCAGTTCAGCCACCCTTCAGTTTACCCATCGCAAAGCCTCACATTCTAGCTGGACAAGTTTCGTTCTCTGTGACTTGCAGCCTACACCAGCGGTCACCTGCATGAAACCCGTCTGGTTTTCTGTTGTATCACATTGAACACAAGTCCTTTTTGATAAGTAGATGGAAGCGGCAAATTCGGAAATATTCGGAACCCATGGCATATTTTTTCCGGCGCGGACGCCTCCCATAGCTCCTGCACCGTGCAGGGCGCGGACTGTGCCTGCCGCGGACCTCAAGGCGGACATCCGGATCTCCAGCAAAGCTGAAGAAAGTAATGGTCATGCCCTGTTGGCGGCTTGAAGCCAAGAGTGGCAACGACTACAGGACAGCACAAGGCTGAAAGAAAAGAAACATCGTGATGGAAAGGCAGTTTGAATTTTAGCTCTCCCGACGACCACAGTGACACGTCTCTTGCCAAGTAACACAGCTGTACTGCCTAGCCGCTAGCCCCAGCTTCACATGAGCACTCACATGGGAGTTCACGTAACCACACAAGTAGAAATAAGAAAAACAAGTCATAGTGAGTACAAACGCCAGCACACATGATGCTCATATTTCATGGGCAAAGCTGTGTCAGAGGCCAGTAGTCCCTGTGGGGATCACCATTTTTGACTCCTGCAAGCAACGCCCCTCGCGACGCTATTCCTTTTGCATGTGCACCCGCGGCAAGCTTCGCGGGCTACAAGTCCAGGCTTCGGCCCCGCTTGCTGTCGAAGTGAGGGCCCAACTGATCCAGCAGTTCACCATGAACTCCAGGGCTGTCACTTTGATCCTCAGCTGCATGGCCATTCTTGAACCACACGGCCCATTGGCCCATAGACAAGGGAATTCCTTGCGCCAAAGGCAAATGCGCGAGCAAGGTTCCGACAAGTCTTTGCAAAAAGAACAAGAAACAAGACTGGGCGTGGCCCTTGGGAGCCTGGCGCCATGTTGGCCACTTGCTTCAACACGTCCCCGGTAACCGAGTGGATGGCCCGGGCTCCCTCCACCTCGTGAGCGATTCGCGGCATTCCGGGTGTCGTTTTGAAGAGTGCCCTTGCCGCGCTTGGAGAATCAATAGGAGATCACAATTCTCGTGTCTTTTTGCGTGCCCTGACAAACATGATTTAAATTTGTTGGTACGGAGACCTTGAAGGTCCAACACGCCAAATATGTCGAGGAAGAACTCCCAGCCAGATTCGATGTGCACTCGTGACAAAGGGTTGCTCAAATGCTTTCACCACGCCGGAATATAAAGCCAACACCAGCCTTGTTTGTTACAGACCTCTGTTGAACAAGGCAGCTGCAAAGCTCCCAAGACTGGTGGTGAAGATAGGGACACAAGTTCTGTTTACCAGCGTGCCGTGCGAAGCCTTTCTCGCGAACAAGGCGGTCCGAGCTTGATTGCCCGTGTATCTAAACAACAATTTCAGTGCCTCACAGCCTCTCACTTCGATGAGGGTTCGGCTGGCATAATTATCGTCATTATGACCCAGAAGAGGGAAATTCGACCACCATCGAATGCCACCAAGACATCCACAGAGAGAGACACACGCAAAAGCAAAAACCCAAACACACCACACGTAGGAGGGCTGACAATCTGGAGAGAGCAAGCCTCGCACTCGTCAACATCCTGCACTGTGTCAAAACGTCTTCTTCCGAAATGGGCCGAACACATCTGATTCGTTTCCGGAGACGCCAGGCGACTTCTGCAGCGAGCCCAAGGCTCCCTGCCAGAAATGTGGCCAGGTGCCTCAGGTGCGGAAGCACCTTGATTGAGACCTGCACAGCAGAGCTTGCTCAATTTTGGCTCTAACCCCACAACCTAGATATGTGAAACAAGGTTTTAGGGGTGCATAGGGATACATAATGCTGCAACAAAGCAAGCACGCAAAATATGTCACTGCATCTTTGGCTGCGCAGTGAGGATCTATAAGCTGAAAGCTGAACACATCACTGAACGTTCATTGGGCAGTAAGCTTGGTTGAGCATTCAGTTCAATTCAGGTTGGGTGCGCAAAACAAGCCAGCTTCAGGCTCCTGCCTGCTCATAGTGGCGGAATGTGAATAAGCTGGAGGAACCTGGGTGATGTAGCGGGACTGCGAAGTGCTTGACGTGTGCTTTGCATGAATGCGTACTGGGCCGTCTTTGGGACGTCATGAAGGTAGAGAGCCCTAGCACCCGCATGGCTATGCCTGGGCCGCAAACTCAGGCCCATATCCTTGGCCTCAGTCAACGGCCGGAGATGAGGGCGAAGGCAGCCTTTGACCGATCATTCCGGTTGTCTGGTGACAGATGATTGAAGAGATCAAACAAACCAAACGGGTGCTGAATGCAGGCATTCAGGAGCAAGACATACATATCACCCGCAGAGATGAATGTGGAAGTAACAACATCTGTTAGAATATACAAATAAACGGCATGGCGAGGAAGGACCCCACAACCGGGATGGCAAACAACAGAAACATTACTATCATCAAAACGGTGAACTTGAGAGGATTGAGACGAATCATCGAGTAAAGGATTACACAGCTCTCCTTGCCAAAACATCGCCAATCAAGTGCAAATGTGTACAAATGCAACACAAAGGAAACAGGAGCCACACATGCGACCAACCATAATTCAAATCGGTGTAACAAACCAACGTGGTCAGTTCAAAGGACACCACCACCTGACAAACCAATCTACTAATAAAACAGCAAAGGGTGGAAGGAAGGAAGGAAGGAAGGAAGGAAGGAAGGAAGGAAGGAAGGAAGGAAGGAAGGAAGGAAGGAAGGAAGGAAGGAAGGAAAAAGGAAGGAAAAAAGGAAGGAAGGAAGGAAAAAAGGAAGGAAGGAAGGAAACAAAGGAAACAAAGCAAACAAAGCAAACAACGCAAACAAAGGAAATGAAGGAAACAAAGGAAGCATCGACGCACGTGCACAAGGACACAACCACGCAGGGAAGCAAGGAAGTAGGAACAAAAGGAAGCCAGGAAGGCCAAAGTTAGAAAGCAAGAAGGCAATTGATCAATGAGGCAAAATGCCTCGTGTGGCAACACCTAAAGCACACAACACAAATATAACTGATAACTCAAAGCTCATCTGGCTTTGTTTCAAGCTCGGGGAATCCACACAATGAGTTGTCTTTGGCTTCTTCAGCTGGCCATGATGTGCTGGCCGGCTGGCCGGGCTCTGAGGCCGCCAACTATCTCCGGCGAGGGATCAAGCAAGCGCGCAGCTGTCGTGAGATGGTGTGACAGCCTTGCACAGCAAGTCAAACACAGGCACAGCACACACACACACACATGCAACCAGCAGTACAAGTATGCTAGCTTGAAGTTGAAACACCATATCTGCCTACCACTTTGTATACTTGGCACCGTCAACGTCATGGGCTACCAGCTTGCCTTGCCCTTGCAGCATGGGGCAATGTATTTGCCAGGAAGAGCAGACAAATCAGGGCTTCTTCGCTGCATCATTGCATGTCGTCAAGGCATCGCTTCCCTCTCTCTGGATCTCAGCTCTGACGTGATCTCGGGCGCCAGCACCACCTCTGGGTGGGCTGCAGCGCCTGGACTATGAACTCCCAACGAACGTGGGCCAATGTGGGCGAATTTCATAGGGTGCTTGACACAGGGGCACTCCAATCTCCAGATGTGATATCTCAAACATAACCAGCACCACCCACTGCGCCATTGAGGCAATGACGTTCAGCACTGAAGATGACGTCGTCCCTGGCTACATGGCACAATGGCAAAGGGCACGCCTTGTGTTTCTGACGGCAACAACCTCAGCGTACCAATCGAAGCAGCAGAACTCTCTGTTGGAGAACGAGTGGTGAGCCGTATTATACAATTCGCAATTGTCAGTACACAAGCCACTAGCTATGCTTGCCAAACATCTAACCGCAGGGTTGCTCGCTCTAGTCGCCACAAGAAAATTCAAGCTTCAACCATGGCTCAAGGCACTGTGTTCTGTATGGGTAGCTCTGGTGGTAGCCTGACTCATCCGGCCTCAGCATGGGGGCAGAAGGGCAGAAGGGCAGAAGGGCAGAAGGGAAGAAGGGAAGAAGGACAAGCAATGACATCCCGAGATGCATCTTTCCGCATCATGTGTTGTTGACATTTTAACATTGCAGAAAGCATCATGAAACAATGGAATGAGGTGGCTGAACGACATGGACTTTCCCATGCTCCAGACCGTTACATTGCAATGCTCCTCTCAGTTCTGCTTCATGCCAGGAGTGTCAGCTCTGGTTGTTGTTGTTATTATGATTATGTTATTATTCTTGTTAATATTATTTTTGGAAAGTACGCTCCGGAAAGAACCATTCTGGACTCCTGGACAGCTCACAAACAGCACATTCCGGAATCTGCTCGCGAACGCGGAAAATGGGGGTGCCCTGCATTGCCCCAAAGCCTCTTCCATCGCTTACCCAATGCCACAGCACTGCTGATGGAAAACAGCACAAACACGCTCGTCCATAATAACAATGAGCACAATGCGCAAACAGCAATCGAAGAAAATATGTGCTTCTCTTCTGCACCTGCCCAAGGTGATCAAAGACATCACACCAAACTCGACAGAGACCTTGGCCCATCTGGCTGCCACTCCGTTGAGGCATGCTCATCAGGCACAGGGCAACTACACACTGGACAGGACCAAAGGGTGACAAGCAACGAGATGGCCAAACAAACATCGCAGCATCAACCGTACCTTGAGAATGCCTCCCTTTGCGAGTGATCACACTGGCCACTCACGTTCTCTTGCTGGTGAACCTAGCAACTGTGGCCTCTTGGCCTCTTGGCTTCTCGGCCTCTGGGATCCCCCGGCTCCACCCCGGCGAAGAGGCGCTTGGGCGGCTGCGCTAGGCGCAGGTCACGCCGGTGCTTCCGGAAGTGCTGCCTGGGGCGGGATCGCTTGCCATTGAGCCGTTGAGCGACTTGAGAAAGGATTGGTGATCCTTAGAAGAAAAAGAAAACACTGTGATCGGCTCAACCAACTATCTAACATGGCCCGACTTTTAAAGCTTTTGAGAAGGCGTCTCTTGCTGCAACCTGGCTGAGGCGTGAGCAGGATAGCCTGCTTTACCCGGAAGCCGCAGTAGCAAATGCCCTCCATGTGTGCCTGTGGCATGTCTTGAGGTGATGCCTGTAACATAGGCAAACAGGAAAACACAAACCAACAACACAACTTGGGGATGGGGATCAAATTGCCTTTCAGGCCTTCATCATTGTCAAACCGAGCAACCTTAGAATGCTGCTGCGGAAGTGAACAAGACACATGTCGACTGAGTCGCCTTGTTTTTTGTGCGGTAAAGCTGCAGTCATTGTCATGTTCACAATGGTGGGCGTCAACCATGGCCTAAACAGAGAGACTCAGCCAGGCAAAACACACGCAATGGCCGAACAGTTCGGCTCTGAGAAGTCCATGGGATCCCTCCCTTTGGACAAATCAAGTCTCAGGTTCCGGGTGTGACCGCCCGCGCCTGCGGCTCCTGCCGCAGGTGTCGAACCCAAGCCTCAGCGCTGAACATGTCAACTCAGCACTATTTGCCGCTAACCGGTGTCTAGCGGTGTCGTAGAAAACTAGTTCCCCAGCCATCACCGCAGCTACCACAGCCGCATCGCTCATAATGTAGAACCCAGAAATGCCTCAATATCCTCAATCTCAGTCTCCACGGCAAGCGAAAGAAAGTTACTAGTTCATGTCATTTTCCTCCAAGGCATTCCCAGCCAAGCTCATCCTTCCGCATCAGTTGGTCACCCCCACACTGGGTGTCATCTGCAACAGCATTCAAGAAAATGGCCCTGCCACATGTGAATGCGTCAAAACAAGGGACCTCTCCACGTGGCAGGCTCTCCTTTGGCTTCGTTTGGTGATTCCAATGGGCTCCGAGTTTAACCCACTCGCTCGCCCACTGTTGCGGCCTCATGGCCGTGGCTGATCTCGGCCACCATGGCGTCTTGCTCCTTGGCACGAAAGCCTGGCGCGGGGAGAGGTCCCTTTACAGAGCGATCTTTCGCTAGGTACTCTTGGCAGCGCGGCGGAAAGCAGCATAGGACATCAAATGCTGCCCTTTCCGTGCTAGGGATGATGCAAACACACACACACACACAACCATGCTGCCCTCCCGATACCATGCGCATCAACAACATGTATTCGAGTCCAAGAACCTTCATACACACGATACATTTCACTGAGGGTGCCATCTCAAGGAAAATCAATGGCCCCAAACTCTCAAACGCCATGATTGTGTACTACATCTGTGTCAACACGCAAACAACAACAAAGAACAAACAATAAACAACAAACAACAAACAAGGAACAATCAACCCACATACCAGTGACACAGCATCATAGACTCCGAGCCTGCATCAGAGGCAGGCCGCTGCGCTTGCGCAAGGCTTTTTGCCAGGATCTGCTCGATCTCTTCCTGCGCGAAGCCCAACACTGAGTCGCTTGCGCAGATTTCAAGTTGGTCTCGCGGGCTCGTTGATTGCTTCGCCTTATCGATGATAATGATTCGTTGCTGTGGCTTGACATTCTGTTGTGATTGATCAAAGGGTGATGTCGGTGCTTGAATGTCTTAGTCCAATGCCAACAACCAAAAGCCAAGTCAGGCTTGCAACTCTTGTGCACTCTCCGAGCTCCTCCGGCTGGCGCAATGGCAGCTCCACGTTTTCGGCGCTCAGCAAATGGGAGGTTTGGCACCACCTCGCTCAAGCGTCGGAACAACAGCAGGTTTAATCGAGGCGATAGATCTATGACTTCCTTTTTCCTGGAATTCTAGTCCCTATGTGGTGCATCGAACATCACCGCTCAGCCCCATCCCCTGGATGCCCGAGCTCGGCGACTTCCTCTCGGAAGGTCCACAGGGAGGGAGAGCCTCTTGGCAGCGCCAGGCTATGACAAGGCCTAAGCTTGGAACGAATGGACTGACTTGCTGATGTGCTGGTTCTCAGATGAGGGAATGACCCGCGGCTTCCTTTGAGGGGCAGCAAGCTGAATGAACTCCCATATTTCACAGCCATAGCAAGGGGAGTCGGAGGGTTCTGGCCATAGCTGCATGGTCTTCCATTCCACCCAACTGTCACTAGGAGTCACTATTATGTTGCAATGGCTCCCCTGACAAGTTGGCTCTGAACTAGCTTTTACAAATGGACAACGGCGATGAGTTGCACGGGATCTGCGGTACAAGCCCACGCGAATTCCAATGCGAGAGGAAAACGGCTGAAAAGGGACACGGGGCAATCATAATGGCATGTTTGCAACTCTGTCTTGCCAGGCTTAGGCAGTTTCATCAGTTCAGGAACTTTCCAAGGGACAAATTCCCTGCCCATTAAGTCGACTCTTGGAGTTCATACCACAATCCAGCATCACGGGAGGATCCCACTCCACACCCTGAGAACAACACGAGTCACGCTAACTCGGTACTAACTCACGTGCGCGTATGTCCAACACTGGGAAACTGCTCGCTGGCTCTACCATTTGAAGGGCTTCCCACATCGGCAACACCTCGTATGCAAGCACTGCCGAGGCAGCGGCAAATGAACCTTCAAGGAGCCCGGTGCAAGGGCCTCAGCTACCGCTGGGCTGGAACCTAAGGCAACTGTTGGGATCGTTACCCGAAAACTTGGCCCCTTTGGACCCGTGCTCCTTGCACTTCTAGGACTTAGAACGCATGGAGCTTTTGGAATCTAATTGCACAACACATGAATAAAATCAGCTGCAAGCGTCGCGTCCCAAAAGACGAAACGCAGACACAGAGACACACAGACACACACAAACACACAGCCACACCACCACACAAGCACACAACCACGGGATAGAGTCAGTTTCATGGCAAGCTTGCGACTTCAGCAGTCCCATTATGCCGGGCTCAGTGCCTGACGAGCTCTGTTCCGTCTGCAGCATCTTCGAGCTTTGCAAACACGGCGGCAATGATGACGATGGGCAGCTGGAGGGCTTTTCACCAAGGCGAGACCAGTCTGAATGCTATAGAGTTATTCAGTTCCAAAATAGCCAAATAGCAAAGCAGTGTGCATTGGCACAGCCCTATTTGCAGGTGCGCGTTTTCAAACACCAAATGCCCCTGTCCAATCATCATTAACAATTGCATTCATCGACGGAAGCAATAAAGCTGAAAGCAATCGCAAAGTTGCTACCCTGAACCACTCTCGCTTTCTGTTCGGCCCGGTCACACTTCATGTTTGAGCATGAGCACTGGGCATGCGAAAGCAATGCAAGCAACAGCCATCAAGCCACCAGCTCGCTCTTCGCAGGTGCCTGCGTCCCTGCCAGGCTGCGGCCCAAGCGCTCCGGTACTGCCGCAGCTGCAACAGCCGCAGCCTCAGCAAAGTGAAGGGTGAAAAGGAACACGGCAACCTGTATCGTTTAGGCCTACGTTTCGGAGCATGTTCAAAGGCGCCACGTTGCCGAGATCAACCCTGAGGACACTGTTCATTGGTTTACTGGGGTTTTCAGGCATGTCCGAACACCACGAATCCACTTAGCCCTGTGCTCGAGAAGCCGCGGCAAGCGCTGCGTCGTGCGCGTTGTCCCTCCTCAAAAGAAAGCGGAGATTCATCCCTCAAGCAAATGTTTTTGGCCGACCACAAGTACACCGTTTTCCCCAAAAACCCACTAGGGTTGGGTTCTCGTTTAGTTGTCTAAACGCAAGGGAGCGAGGATCGATGCTGAGAGTGCAACATACCCTGTAAACGCCCTGTCTGAAAACGGCCAAGCTTTGAGGATGCAGGGGGCCATCTGTCAGCTGCGTCCGTCGGAGGGTGTTTTGCTTTCGGCGTTTGCTTTCGGGTTTTGCTGTGTGACAACGTGTCGGAGCGCCGCCAGCGGCAGGCCGACAGAAGCAACAAGAAAGACCTGCCCGAAATCGAGAAGAGTTGCTGCGCGAATGCTTTGTGAAACCTCTCTCCCAAACCTGTGGGGAGACAAACAGACATTGCGAGACCTCCGCGAGACCTCTGCAAGACCTCCGCGACAACTAGTTTGAATAGTAGAGGTCTCACAGAGGTCTCGCAGAGGTGTCTGTGGGCCTCGCCGGGAACTGAGGCGTCTGTCGGTCTCGCCGAGGTCTGGTCTTGCAGAAGTCTAGCAGATGTCTCCCACAGCGGGAAAGACACCATCCATGCTTGTTAAGACCGAAAGAAGCAACAAAGAATCTGCCGCACGAAAGCTTTGTGAAACCTCTTTCGTTCTTTGCTTTCGGCGTCCAAAGTGTCGGAGCGCCATCAGCATCAGGCCGACAGACTCAGAAGCAAGAAGAAAGATCTGCCCGAAATCCAGGAAACGCGCTGCGAAAGCTTTGCGAAAACTCTCTCCCATACCCGTGGGGAGACAAACAAACATCTGCGAGACCTCCGCGAGACCTCCGCAGAATGAGTTTGGCTAGTTTTGCCTGCAAGTCTTGCAAAGGTCTCGCGTTTCGCCGAGGGTGCGCGGTGGATTTGGTCCGGCAAGAATGTAACCGATGTCGCTGAGGTGACGGAGGGTGGGGCCTTGTGCCCTGACGCAAGCGATCTCAGCTTCGTTTGTGCCGCTGGGATTTGGTCCGTACCGGTCCGAGAGTTTGGGAGGGAACCTTGGGGGAGCTCCCCAGCCTCGTTTGTTTGTGCGGCTGCGTTTGGTGGAGCTGGTAATTTTGATTTGCTTGGTTTTGGGGTTCCCCGGCTCTCCTTTTTCTTTAAGGATACTAAATATCATGTCGTGTGTGTCCATGTGCCCTCAAACAAATGACACCATTACGAAAAACAGATGTGCGTCAAACAGGAAGCACTGGGCACGGGCAACTTCGAGAACTATTGGGCAAGTTGCGAAACGCTCAAGTGCTGCAAAATGACAGGTAAAGCCGCGGCACTTGGATGGCTTAGCCCCTACACATCCTACACTAGCTGGTTCCCAAGCCTCTTCAGCTTGATGACTGGCCGCGACATGGAGCCAAAGTCTGGCAGCACCGCTGCGTAGGAGAGCTTCGCCTGGTCCGAGCTGAGCAAATCTACACGACTACAAGACTCCAAACTGTGCCTTGGCCTATCAGCCTCTGGCATTGCCTTCAGGATTGAGGCCAACTTTGAGAGGTGACCAAAGAAAAACATACTGACAAACAGTTAAACATGCAACCTTGAGAAGGGTGTCAAGAACCACAAACAAACAGAATGACTGTTCCGTGCCTCGCCGCTGAAGGGCTTTCCATTTTTCTGCAGCCGTGCAGGGATGCTGAACCTGGCGCATGCGTCACCCATGATGGAAGCATCGCCGAGAAGCGTTGCAAACACAACAGATTCAAGGTTGGTTCAAGCTACAAAGGCAATCGAAGGATGATCACCCTGCAGGCGAGATCCCCATTGCTGGAGGAAGGTCTGCCTGCAGGTGTCACCGGTCTTGACTCCGAGACTGAGCAATAGGTGAAGAGCCTCGATGGACCTGGAAGAACTACACACGCTTTGAGACCTCTGAAGGTATAGCTTCAGGCGATTCCACCATGGGATAATTTCTGAAGCAAGCATTGCCCGCATTGTCACACAAAGCTGGAAGAGTTCAGAAGAAACATTGGAAGCCAATGACAGAAACATTCCCTACATAGCCAATTACCTTTGGGTCTTGCAAGACTTGCAATAGCCATTCAGTTGGCATGACTTTGCAATCGTGAAGTTCAACAGCTGCAGCATTGACTCACTGCGCCCGTCGCCTTACTGCAGTGAGGTTATCCTGGCTCAACGGCAATCGACTAGGATTGACGTGTTTTGTCTGAGGAATATCATGAACATCGTCAGAATGCCGTGCGGCATCAGAAATGACTAATTGTCACAGAGTCTCAAAGGAGGTGGAAGGTCCCTTCAATGATGCGGCCCCAGCCCCACAACATTGACGAAAGCTCGGCATTCTAGGCTGTCAGCCCCTATCATGCCTTGGTGGCCCCAAAGCATGCAAATCAAGGTTGACAAATGTCCGCCGCACTTCCTCTTGATTGCGGGCTGAATTCATGTCACGGAGGTCCTCGAATAGCGCTGCTTCTTCTCCTTCATGCTTCGCCTGAATCGATCTTTGGACAGAAATCCGAACTGATTTGCAAAAAGGGGAACACCGTGTTGGGCTACAACGTTCTTCAAGCCACATGACAAGCTGAACCAAGGCATTCCCTAAGGCCTGTTCATGAGTTTCTTCTTGTCAACCAGCAGCACACAGCCCGCATCCACTTCAACATGCCAAGGCTTGCTACACAGCTGCTGGTGCCGCTGCTGCTTCTGCTTCTGCGGCAAACAAGCTACCCAGAGTCTGGCAACCAGAAAAACTAAAGCGTGCGAAACCCTCAACTTGTTGCTTGCAGGAGAAGCATCGGTAGCAAGTGATGGGAAATGCACTCAAACTGCAGCTGAACCCTCTAAACTGGGCCCAGATCGCAAGGGCTTCCGACCTTGACATTGAGCATGGCCCTACCTCCAATGCAAGTCTCTAGAAGCTCTCTGGACAGATTCTAGGATCCCCCCAGAAGACTGAGGCATTGTCTGTCAACGCGAGCTGCTAACGCTGTTGCTGCTGTCGCTTCCGCCGCGCTGCCCCAGAGGCTGTTGCCGTTGCTCATGTGGAGCATGGCATCCAGAAACAAAACCCAAGCGCCCAAGGAGCCTTGGAATATCCGAATCTAATCCAAGCTACGATTCATAATGTCCGGCGTCTCAACACAAAGGACAGATTTCGAGGTCGCGCAAACATCCTGCCCCCACTGATATAGCGCAACATCCTGCCTGGAAGCACCACGAGTGCAGCGGCCTTGCGCATAGCTCAAACGAAAGTGTGGTCCGATACGAA